TTTTTATAACAATCTGTATTTATTCTACTGCTGACTGAACAGTAGGAGGGTTAAATGCCTTGCTCAAGGACATGTTCAGTGAGAGTGAAGAATGAATCTGACTTGCTTTTTTCCCCTCCAGAGTCATTCATCATCCTCACTCCCCACTCACATCTCTTTATCTGTAACAATCACCTCCAAACACCCTCCACTCATCTTCACTGTCCCATCGCACAGGTTTCTCCACCCTCTCCTCTGTTCCCTCCATCACTGTCTCTCCTCTAAGCCCTCCCATGCTCGATCTCCCTCTTTTTCCACCTCCCACTGCTTCTATTATCACTCCAGTGGGCTCTGATGAATGACTGAGTTTGATTTGGGTGGGGGAAGTGAAATTGAGCAAGGGAATAGGAGGTGAAGTGCAGTGTGGGGAACAAGAGTGGCATTAAGTTTGGCTTGTGAGCCACTTGGGCTTCTGTTGTTATTCGCAGTAAATTATCACAATGTTTATCGGTTCCATAAATCCAACCCACAACCTCTGGACACTCAGTGTGACTTAGTAAAGTTTGTTGAGCATTTTTCAGTGAGTGGGCAGAACAAGATTGTTTTGTTTTTTTTGGTTTTTTTAAAATCTGCTTCTGAAACATTGCAAATGACTAATCTGTTCTCTTCATGGCTTTAATTACCCAACAAAACAAACGTGTTACTTTTAGGGTGTTTAACGGTCTTTCATTCCAATTTTCAAATACGTTTTTTGGATTTCTCCTCAGCTGTTAACCAAAATCTAATTGTAAATAAATGGTTAGTTTATGCTTTCTACTCTCCCCACTAAAAAAGAAATACAAAACTTGAACTTTGAGACACTCACGTCTATATTTACCCTCTTTTTAATTCAGCCACAGCTTCCCCTTACAGCAGGGATGTCACATACAGCCCACTTTAAACTTAAGTGGGCCTGCTGCCTTACCTCTGTGATATTTTCTTCATCTATTGAACTTATGTAAGGACGCTTGGCGACATGCAAGCAACCAAGTCAAAGACTCCATGTCTGAAATGAGGCCAATGTGGAACTGCCATCACTTTTTAAATCGCTACTTGAGTCCAGCTCTAAGTGAGTCCATGTACACAGCCTCCCATAATACAAAAGCCCAACCTTGCAGCATTAAAAAGTCCACTAACAGCCTGGTACAAACAATAGTTCTGATGTCTCTGCTACATGGTACAGTTAATGATTATGTTTATTAGAGCCGTACAGTTTAAAAACAGATTTAACTAGCTGACAAATTAGCAACCCTGCCTCTGATCTATCATTTATATGCAATCTATAGCAGGTACAAGGCCTTTATCAAGAGCAAATGAATAACTGCGGTTATTGAAATGCATTTTAAAACCACTGGCTATCATCCGATTGAGCTTTCGTCTTAGCAGTTAAATGACTGGCTCACCCCACACACATTCTCTGACCAGATGGCTTCACTGCAAAAATGTGCTCTTTAGACATTAGGACAGCAGAATAAGCTGATGGTTTCCCACAATGAGCAAAGCATAAAGGGCAAGAAAATGCCACAAAAGTCTTGACCACTAGCATCAAGTTAATGTGAATGGGGTGTCTGCTACTAAACTGATCATATTTTTCACAAATGTCACTTAAAAGACCGGAATTTTCTTTTTTTCAGACTACTTCTTGATGTACATGAAAGGTACGAAGAGAACAATATTAGTGACAGGACAAGACAATAGATTTGTCTTTACAAAAACAACCTTCACCTTTAGATGAACCACAGCAGCCTTCATCTAAAGGTGTGGCCCTATAATCAAAGCAAAATGCCCATCGTGGTTTATTTTGAGAACTTCACTGGCTGTCTACTCGCAAAAAACACCGCTTGATTTCTGTATCTTCAGGGTGTACTTGTAGGCATTTCTGACAGCTGTGGTTTGAGAAACAAAGACTAAAGGAAGGGAAATCAGGATTTACAGGAGACAATATTGAAAGTTAGCAACTGTGTCAGAGCTGTATTTGTGGTGAAGTGAAAAGGCTAAGAAAAGCACTGATTTCTTTCGAGATCTGTTGGCGGGCAGTAACCCCCCCCATATAAATTCTTGGGAGCACAGTAGTCGTGGAGGTTGTGCTGGGCGAGTTTGATGTATTTGCTCCTATTATAGAGGGAGCACTGCTCGGCTGGGCATGAAAGTTGGAGCGGATTGGATGGACAGAGAAGAGGTGGAAAAGAACAGAAAAAGAAAGATGGATGGTTGGATTTAAAGTTCACCAGCTCCTTAAACCAAGAGGCAAAATTTGCCTGTTGGCTTTAATAGGAGAGGAGAGGAGAGATGAAACAAGGAGACATGAAGATCATTTTTGAGGATTATAGCCCAGGTGATTTGAACTAACATCTATTTTCATCAATTTTCTGTCCAATGTAGAAAAAATAACACTAAAAAATTCTCACACTCTCATATACAATACACACAAGCAAATAAGTACTTACTTCCTGTCCAGAGAGGTAGTAGGCAGCCAGCAATCCTCCTATGAACCGAATGTTGACCTCAAACACTGACACCTCAGCATTCTGGAAAATTAAGACAGCACAAAAATCATTAAATAAAGCAGCTTGCTACAGGAAATGGCACAAAGTAATCACTAATACCCAAGATCTAAACAGAACAGGCAAAACAGCACTCCCCTATTGGCTCTATTCTCTGGTGACACTGGATACATAACTGTGAACAGTATTCATTTCTGGCTTTGGTGAAGCCCAGTGGTGCTGTTTAACAAAACACTAAGATCAATGGCTTCTTAATGTTATGGCTGATTTGCATGTCATGCAGCAAAAGATGCAAAGTGGAAAGGTACTTTCAGACAGATCAGATAGTAAAAGCTGTCCAAGTGAAACAAAAATCTTTGAATCATTAGCGCTGAGCAACAAGGCAGTAACCTGCCAGCAGATATGAAGTGGAACGTGTGAGAGCGACAGGAGAGAAAAGACGTCTTGAGGATTAAACACTGAACTAAAGCCACCACGAGTACACGAAGTGGTTAAGGTGATTTCGCACATTATTTGGGTCTAAAGTTGTTACCATGGTTATTGTTTGCCAATTCGAATTAGTTGGCTGCTCATCCCAATTAATGTGCCTCCAAAGGAGAACCTAATTAAGACTTTCATGTACACACTTGACTGATTTCACTCTGTGCAATGCTTGTACTGCTGGCCTTGCAGCTTCCTTCCAACCACAGCATTCCTCGTGTTTGGGAAATTGGAAGACTGTGACTGACAACATGGTTGATGACACAGCGACTGTGATGCAGAAATGTTATTCACCTGGAACGCCTTTTTGGTCCCGTACATTCAAATGCTGAGAGCTCCTTGCAATTTACAACATGACCTTGCGCTGATATTTTCACATTAGAAATGAAAACGTACCAAAGATGAGAGAACTCTGCCTACACATTTTTTAAAGTGCAGGCTGAATGACCTCTGTTTACAGTAAATGAATAGGAGAAAGAAGCGGAGGAGTGCAGGAACATTGTGTGGCTATAACATGTTAAGATCAGCCACAGCATGGTTCAAATAAATACATCAAATATTTATCATTGAGCCTTACTGATTACAGTACTCAGAGTTTACCGCGCTCTCTTCTGTAACCTGATGAGGTAACTCTAACCTGGAGTCAGGAGCACATGTGAACAAGAACATTCAAAGACTGGTTGTGATGCTCAGCCCTGAACACTGGTCAGCACCGGTACTCACATTAGCGCAAACCTGGCCCTGATGTCAGCCTAGCTTCATCTAATCCACTTAATTCATTCAAGAGCCTCTCTCGGCTTCTTGCATTTCCTTCAGTGCAAAGAGCTGCCATAACCTGTCAGATAATGCTTCTGCTGGGAAGTCTTTTCAATAGAGCTATACAGGGAACAGTGAGCCTTCTTGGCATGCCTTCCCCCACAGGCACATTTCCCTAAAGAATGCTTTTCTTATCTACAGAGGCATACAGTGTTACATCTAGCTGTACAATACTGTGGTTCATGTCTGAAAATCTGAGCATCTTTTGAAGGTAAACCCCACAATCTCTATAGTATCTCTTGATCTATGGGCTGTTCGCAGCAGGGTGGATTTTGGCCTCTCAGATATAACAGGTCTGATTTGCTCCTGAAATAGTGAAGCCCTATCATTGTTGAGGCTTTCACTTGAGTATAAGCAAAAAAAAGGAGAGAGAGAGAGAGAGAGAGAGAGAGAGAGAATGTAGCAGCCGTACACTCGATGTTGAGTTAATTTTTATTTTGCAAGCTGTTTGAATGTGTCTTAAAGTACCAGAGTTGCTTCCTGCCTCAAATCCCATGTGTGGATTAGTGCTGGAAGGGAAAAGTGTTGAATACTGCCTGCATAAACCTATTTTCAACTTGCACATATTTTCTCTCTGCAAAGTTTTCAGACTAAGCCCAACTAAAAAGGTTTTCATTTTTACCGGCACACAATCAGCACTTCAACAAAACCCACTGAAAGGCAAGACGAGCTACAGGTTTGTGTTAAACCTGATGAAAGGTGGCGACTGGGAAGCTCTCATCCAGCCGAAGGCTGGCATCCGTCTACAGCAGGATTGTGTAAAACTCAAATACACAGTGGGCCAAAATTCAAAACTGGGCTAACATTAATATTTATTGGGAAAAAAATCTTCCTCCAGATATAAGAATGAATCTTTTCTTATGGACTCAAACAAGTTTTGCTAAAAAACTGAATATGGAACAAGCAAAGCTTAATACTAAGCAATATATATATATTAGCTGTATAATACCAGTAGGCCAGCTCTAATAATAATTTGGTATGGCTTCGCGGGCCACATGTAATTAGGCTGCGGGCCAAATTTGGCCCGGGGGCCAGAGTTTGACACCTATGGTCTACAGCATGAGTCAGCCTTTACTTGTTAGCCATTTACAGCTGCAGTTTAGAAGCACTAAGCCCAATGAAAAGCAGGGACAAAACAACCCTGATTTTAAAAAAAAACAAACAAAAACAAAACAAAAACAAAAAAGCCTGAGGTGAGCACAGAGGGGGAAGTGGGAGGCTACGTCCGCACGTACCCGGGTATTTTTGAAAACGCAGATTTTTCTATGCGTTTGCACCTTTTGTCCACATGTAAACGGCGTTTTCGGTCACTGAAAATGGAGATTTTTTAAAAACTCCTGCCAGGGTGGATATTTTCGAAAACTCCGTTTTTGCGTTTACGTGTGGACCAATATTTCTACAGTTTGACGTCACACTGTGCGCCAGGTTATTGTTTCAGTGAAATGAATTTCTACCATGGCGGACTTAGACAAAATACCGTTACTGTTCATTTTTCCTCTCTGCAGTGTTTAAATGCTTACATATACACACACAGCACTGAGTCCTCCACACATAGGACTCAGTGCTGCTTCTATGCGCCATCTTTGTTTACTCTTTCCCACCCAGGCTTCTAGACTTCTGATTGGCCAACATTTCTACACGGTCAGGAATATATCGCTACCTGCTGCTTTGGCATGTTCCCGGCAGCGTTTTCCTTCGTTTTTGGCTTTTACGTGTGGACGGGATTTTTTTTTTACAAACGAAAACAGAACATCTCCGCTTTCAAAAAATACCCGTGTACGTGTGGACGTAGCCGGAGTTACACAGGTTGTGCAGTGAGGCTTGAGAGCAGCACAGGAATATACGGTTGGACGGAAATCATGTATTTTGTCATGGAGCTACTAAACAGAACACCAGGGTCACTTCATTATATGATCTTCTATTTTAACACTCTTAACAACACTCACTCCCCCCTCTATTTATATCCAACATGTATCAGTACAAACAGATCTGTCAGTGTTTCATAATACAGATACATAATATAGCATGCATTTCGCTTGTTGAAGACTAGACCCATTGCCAGCAAAAGGTTTCAACCAAATATTAGAAATGAAGATTTTATTTTTAGTTACTGAATTTTTCCAATGACATTTGAGCCCCTGAATTAAAGGTATTGTGGTAAAAATGCTTTAGTTCATCACATTTTTATGCAATCTTTTTCAACCTACTGAAAGCCTGCACTTCAACCGCATTGAAGTTATTTCCTTTAAAATTCATTGTGGTAATGTATGGAGTCAAAATTAGAAAAAAAAATTGTCTGTGTCCAAATATTTACTGACCTAACTGTACATTAAAGCGAATAGGCATGTGTGCCCACATGTGTCAATATGGGAATTATTAAACCCTTTATAATCAACAGTGCCATCAACTCTGTAAACGCAACATGAACATGCTACACGTGTTGGTGTCATGTTCTCAGTATTGTCTGCCATCTACTCTGTTCTGTACACTGAAAGCAAAGAAATAGCCGGAGCCCAGTTCACACATACTTGTCAATAAAGCTGATTCTGAAAGGTTCTGTTTTAGCTGGATTTTAATCATTATGTTAACAATAAAAGGTAAGAGACACACAGGTTAATGTTTCACACCTCCTTGAATGTATATTTGTAGACTGTCGATTTTAACATCTCTCCCAACCCTAATTGCTGTTTATTCCCAGAGCTTTATATGATGTTAAAACATCCCTGGTGTAAGATACTTGCATGAAACAACATATTTGAAAACATTATGTTTTAAAAGCTCAACAATAACATTTTACAATGTAATTTAAAAAAAAATCAATTTACAAAAGAATATTAATATTAAAACCTGGAATCTCAACAGCTGGTGAGAATGCATCTTTTTGTTTGTTTGGTTCACAGTGTGTGATTTCACTGAAGTATCCCAACAAATCTGATGACAGACCTTCAAATTTGATAAAACATGTCATCCAGACGATTCAGCTAAAATATTAACGTCTGTCATTGGAAATGACACGAGAGGAGCCAACACAGTAAGTCACTGCTTTCACCTTCAGTAAAAAGGCTTCTAGAAGAAGGAAACTGATGGGAGAAGATGTGTCTAATCATGCCAAACATGACAGCTTAAAGTGAGCAGGACCACAAAAGCTCAGCAATGGTATAAAAATTTTAACAGCAGAATGGCCTTTTCTACCTTGTCAAAGACTGTGAATCATGTGTCTGCATTTCTTATTGCCAGAAACATCATATGCTAGGAAAGAAATCTGAATAAAGAACTCAAATGAATCCAGGAAATCAGACTGGGCTCAAACAACAGCTAGAATTAATCAGTATTTCAATCTCCTTGCTGCATGGGATCAGATCAAATCCTCATTTTGATTGGGGTCATTAATGCATTAGTTAACAAAGTCTATTAGTTTGCTGGATGTTTGGGCCTAGCATAGATGCAGTTCGCATGCCGACACATCCATCATCTGAGGGCAAGCTGCAATGCGGGGGTCTAACCAGGACACTAGAGAGTCCAACAATGACTCACTGCTTGGCTCAAACTGACATGGCAGCTATTTAATCATTCATTAGTGGTAAAGCTGGAGCTGGAGGATGTGTTGGTGGCAAGTGGGTGGCTGAATTGAGAGGTAGACGAGCGCAGGTGTAACATATGCAATAAAAATGTGCATAAATTTGCTAAAAGCACACAAGAACCGCACAGTTACTTTTAAGCAATAAATA